TTCATGGTGGCATAATACACAGGTAAACATGCTTAGAATCTTAATGAGCGTTGTTACATTTATAGAATTGACCCTCTTTGAGACCTGAGGAGGTATGGTCAGAGAAAAGCTGAAGGAGGTCGACTACCTTCATGAATGCTGGAGATTAACAACATATAGATGATAAGTTGCTGATACAAGCATTTATGCCCACTTGAGTGCTTTTAGAAAACATTCAACTGAAAATTTATAAAAAACAGGACAGGAGGAAAACCATAGGGTCACTTGTATCAGCTCCATCACCGATGCATTTATTTGGGATTATCAATTATCTATTATTTCTCGAGGAACCATACCAATCCCTATACCTAAAAAAGCTGCTGAACTAACGGTCGCCTATTGTCTAGGATGCATATATGCTCTTCAGTTGATCGCAAGGGATTTGATGTGCTGGGTAAGATCCAAAGTCCCAGTACTTAAAGGATGACCTTGGTGAGTACCAGTGGGAAGGAATTCAGGTTCAAGATTCAACGAAGAGGCACGTTTGATATTGAAACATGTTGTCGTCAACTTGTAAGAAATGAAGAGGAACTGTAGAGGGGTTTCAAGCTACAAGCGGTTTAACCATATAGTATGTGTAACCAGGGAAAGAATAGGTTCACATTCAAGAAACAAAATTATTAGGTCATGACCTTGAAGTCTTTTTTTTGATTTGACACAGGTACACACCGAGATGGAGAACAATGCCCAGGTATCAAGAATGCAGTTTTAGATGGGATGACTATAATACTTTCTCTCTTAACCCTTCTGTAATATTTGTTTTTCGCTTATCAAAGAAGTTGTAAAATCAGCGTTCAATTAAACTAAATTAAGTTCTTAAATATAAATTACATATGGATTAAATAAGTTGAGAAAAAAAAAAAAAATTGGTTCGCCACCATTTCAAAGAATCAAAACAGGGCCACTCAGAATCAGCATCATGGTATATATCTTGTGACATTGCACCAGTTCTGCTGCCAGCCATATTCAGTACGTCTCACACTCAGATCATTATATATACTGTGCAATTATGGAATGAGATGCTCTCCAAACTCTTTCATCTTTGTCCTCGAAGTCCACCTGCCTTCTGCAAGCTGGTTTCTTATCTAGCCACTGAAAAGGGCGTTGATTCAATAAGCATCCTCAATCTTCTTTTTATCAGCCACGGCCAAAGGTCTTCATCCGTGTCCTCGAACTCATTCTCCCTTCGCAAGCCGGTTGCTGCTTACTCCTCTGAATGCCCTGATCAATAGCATCATCCTCAATCCTCATCAGTTGACAGCAAAGTTGGAACTGATCTTCTCAACGTAACATTCATTCCTTCATTTCTATCGGGCCGGTTCCTCCAAAGCGTCTTTTTTCTTGTGCTCCTCATTCTTTCAAACCTTGTACTTCGAGCCTCCTGGGACATCTTTCTTTCAAATTTCTTCCTTTCGCACAAGCCTATCCTTGTCGTAGTAATTGTAATCTTGGTTTCTTTTTGGCCGGTGGTCTTATTCCTCAGCTTGGACACAATTTTCCAAGATGCCATTGGGCATCAATTATCAAAAAGCAAAAACAAGTAATTCTGAGGGAAAAACAACCTCTTGGTCCTGGTGGAATAACCGGAGAGCTCAAAATTTTCCGAGGGGGCAAGGTTTGTCTTCTTGTTCCTGGTTTTTCTCTCGCCCCCCATCGGACCCATGGGATCAAAAAATACCAAGGTTGATTGTTCGGAGTCGGTGGGGAGGGAAAACTTTCCCCACTTTTCTTTGTTTGGGGATTGTTTGTTTGTTTTTTTCTTTGGGGGATCCAAAAAACAAATTCATATCACCACTGCCAATTTCTAGGGACCCAAGGGAACAAGAGGGGTAAACCCTCCAACATGAAAGATCCTAGCACGTTTCTCATTGCCTCACCACTCAGATAGCAGCCCGGGACAGCCAAGCACCGTAAGGTCAACGGCAACATCATCTCTCT